GAAAGCTGAGCGTCAGGACTGTCTCCTCTCATCACACTGGCGCCATCTGAGTACCGAGCACAAGTCATCGAGAAGGTGGGTCATATGAAGAAGAGTGTGGCATCGGCATCGGACGCAGGCTTCGTAACAACCCGCGGCCTGCCGGTGACACCACCTTCCTTGCTGGACGCGCACAGCTCCGGGTAAAGACGACCCAGCCCTCCCAGCTGGTCCCCGAGGGCGCAGGCTGGGAAACGGAGAAACGGTTGACGTTTGACGTTGTCGAGGGCTTTGTCTCAGGTCATGGAAGCAGCAGTCCAGACACCAAATGACGTGCCGTGTTACGTAGCTCTGCACCAGACCCCTTCAGAGTATCGAAAAGCAAGGCTGTTGCTTTGAGAACTCAGGTGTGCGTGACCCAAGCCATGGCATCCTGCATCGCCTCCTACGCGCCTCATATGACAGTTGGACAGACCGTAGAAGAAGAAATGCTTTTGAATTGTGGGTCTGGAGAAGAATTCTTAAAAGTACCGTGGACTTCTAAAAGGACAAACAAATCTGCCTTGGAAGAAGTCTGGCCGGAGTGCTCCTTAGAGGCCAGGAGGACAAGGCTTTGTCTTACATGCTCTGGACGTGTGGAGGGACCAGTCCCTGGAGAAGCATCGTGTGGGAGGAGGTGGAGGAAGGCGCTTGACATGTGGATGGACACGCTGACTGCCGCAGCACGGGGCAGTGTTTCCTTCTGTTGTGTGCAGGGCTCTCTGTGGGTCAGAGCCCACTTGGTGGCACCCGACCGACAGCAGCAATGCCCAGGGCCTTCCCTGTGACCCCTGGCGGCGGCGGCGAGGCGAGTTTGTCCGCTCTCCGAGCCGTGGGGACGGGTGTCAGTGCAGTCGGTGAGCCTGGGGGCTAAGGGTTTTCATGCACCTTCGGTCTTCTTCCCTCTTTGCTCCAGACGAGGAGGGACCCGTGGTGGTGCCTTCACGTTCAGTGTCCTTCTCTTGCCACTGCAACTCCAGAAGTAAAGCCGCTTCTCCCTGTGCAGAAACGTTGAGGAAGGGGCCTGGTGTCGGGATCTGTCCCCCCGCCCCACCCCACCCCACCCCCTTTGGCATGAAGACTGTAGCTTCCCTGAAACATCGCTCTTTCACTTCAGTGTGAAACTGGTAGTTTGCTGGGTTCTGTGAAGGAGCGCTGGTGTCCCCGTGGTTACGGATGGGGCTGGGATGGATCCACGGGGTCCACAGTTCAAAACCACCAGCCGCTCCTCGGGAGAAAGACGTCTACTCCCGTCAAGGGTGACTTGTCTCAGAAATCCACAGGGCCGTTCTGCCCTGTCCTGTAGGGTCGCTGAGTCTGCACCCAGTAAGTTCATTTGCGTTTTGGCTACATGTGCATCGCCCAGTCCTCTCTCCTCTGCCACTTACTTCCTGTGGGATCTTACTCCAATCGAGACCTTTCTTCTCCAAGCCTGGTCTCCGTCAGTGAAATGGGCCCAGTGGCAGGAACGCTGGGGGCTGTGCCTGTGACCGGTAGGCCGACGGGGCGTCAGTGTAGGGTTTGCTGGCTCAGGTGGATCTTGGCTGGAAGCAGAGAAAGATGTTTGCTGTGTTTCGAGTAGAGGGGGTTCTGAGACACACCCAGCACCCCCCCACCCCCAGCAAGGCCGGGGCTCTGGGGTCCCTATCTGGGCTTCTGTGCCCGTCACCTCACCGACAGTCTCCTGTACCCTCACTGACACACACCCTCCTGAGGTGGTGGCCGGACCAGGCGGGTGGGATGGGGTGTTCTGTTGGGAACCACTCTGCCTTCGTGACTGACGTGCCCAAAGCAGAGCCGGTGCCCCTCACAGCAACCCCACAGGGCAGGGTGGAACGGCCCCGTGGGAGGGAGTAGAAGCCCCGGCTTTCTCCCGAGGAGCACCTGGTGGTCTCAAACTGCTGACCTGGCGGATTGCAGCCTGACAGGTGACCCCGCATTCTGTCCCACTGGTTCCGCGTCCCATCTGTCCTTTGAACAGGGCAAATGTGGCCCTTGGGGGGCTCGACTGAACGTGGAAGGAAGCACGTGCCTCACGGGGGACTGTAAGCCTGGTGTCACCCACCTAGCTGGGGTCCCTGGAGGCAGGGTGGGTCATGCGGGGGCTGCTAATTCCAAGGTCAACAGTTTGGAGCCGCCAGCTGCTCCCAGGGAGAATAAAGAGCTGCTCTCAGAAGCCCACGGGGCTCTAGTGGCTGAGAGTCTGAACTGACTGGGTGGCAGTGAGTGTGGCTTGTTATCACCGAGTTGGGTGGCGGCCACAGAAAGGGCTTCACTGGGAATTCAAAGGGTATCTTGGGTCATCATCCCATCATCCCAGGGATTCCCCTGGTCCCCGTTTGTCCTGGAAGGCCAGCCTCTCGGGAATAGGGTTTTTGTTTAGTGCCTTCCTCCCCTTCTCTCTGGGACCCTCTGACGCAGCGGTTCTCCACCTTCTTATGCCACGACCCTTTAATACAGTTCCTCATGTTGTGGGGACCCCAGCCATAAAGTTATTTTCATTGGTACTGTGATGAATCGGGTGACCCCCGTGAAAGGGTCGTTCGACCCCCAGGTTGAGAACCGCTGCTCTAAGGTGCCCCTGGTCAGAGCAGAGGGAAATGGGGTGAGGGTGGGGGGCAACCATCTAGTTCTTCTGGTCTCAGGCTGGAAGCCGCCCGGTTCACGGAGACCTTTAGTCTTGGGCACTAGTTAGTGCTGAGGCCAGCGTCTGACGCTCCTCGTGTGTGGACTCGGTTCTATGCCAGTGGGCTGCGTTGCCCCCAGACCTTGGTCCCAGTAAATCAGCGGTGGCCTTGTGTGGTTGTAGTGAACGTCTGCCTTTTAGAAGATGGACGCCCGCTTTCTCTTGCCTCCCTCCATGAAACAACACCCCAGTGCTGTTGAGTCAATGGGACTCACCGCCGCTGTGCAGGGAGGTGTGGAGCCGCCCCTGGGTTTCCCAGGCTGCACACCTTCAGGGGCAGACAGCCTCGTCTCCCAGTGCCCTCCCGAGTGACCACCAGAGACCTCAGCTTTCTCTGGGAGTCTAGTAGTGGGGTGCATCTGTCTTTCAGGGGTGACTGATTCCGCTTTGCATCATTCCTTGCTGATAGGGGGGTCTGGCCTCCAGCCAGTCAAGTGGAATGGGGCGGGCGAGGGCGCAGCCTGGACAGCAAGAAGGGGTGACCAGGGAGCGGTCTGGGGCTCCTGGGTGACTGGTTGGAATGGAGGCCTCTAGGGATGGGCAGCTGGCCCCTGGATCCAGTCACAGCTCTGCCTGCCCCCGACTTTAAGCTCCTGCCCCCTCAGCCCAGGGAGGGTCTCTTTCCCCCCTTGCTCTCCACTCTGCCAGCCGTCCGGAGCCTGAGGACTTGGCACAGTCTCCCCAGGTGCTCCAGAACACCAGTTCACCTCCGTGTTTTGTTTGTAAAGAAAGAAAACCTGAAGAAGAAAAAACCCTTCCCTCCGACAGCACTGTCTTATTCTATTAGTACGTTTTAATTAGTATACGGGCGGGAATGTGCTATGAATATTCATGTCTGGCTTACTAAAATGCATAATTAATCGGAGGGGGGGTTAGTAACTATTAATGGGGGTGGTGGGGGAGGGGCCGTCCCTATTCCTGTCTTTCTGGGTAGGTGGTAGGGGACACGGGTTTCCAGAGCCTTCTCTCAAGGTCTGCGGGCTGCTCTGGGGTGATGGGCTTGAGCACCCGGCCACTCTGGCCTGTGGAGGTGGGTCATGTCTGTGACCTCGGGGCGACCCCTACTCTGTCTGAGGGTCCTGGTGCCTCCAAGGGACTCGTGGGCGCCCACCGTTGGGATTGCACCCAGCAGGTGGGCTGCATCCTGAGGGCGGGCCCAGAGTCCTCAGGCTGACCCGATGCACAGGGCAGTAGGCAGGACTGCCCAGTGTAGACAAGGGAGACTGAAGCTCTGCACCCCCCACCCTTACACACACACACTTCCTAGGATATAAGCCAGGGTGTGGCCCCCTGGGCACAGGCCCTCCAATCTGGTGGCGGGACTGGGGACCACAACTTGCCCCCCACCAGTGAGGCAGCTTCCCAGCCCCCATCCTCAACCACACTGGAAATTTTTGATTAGGAAACAAAATCTAAATGAGACACATGAATATGCACCAGGCTGGGTGATTAATATGCATAATTATGCAAATTAGACAGCAATTAGGCTCAGATTCTCTGGGGGTGATTAGCACAAAGGCACAGAAATAGGAGGAGGAGCTCCATTTGAAAGGCGTCCTGGCAGCACCCGAGCAGCTGGACACCCCCCACTGTCCACCCAGAGTCCCGCTGTCCAGTCAGCATTCCGGGGCGGGACAGGGATGCTGGAGGTGCAGGTGCCAGCCCTCAAGGCCCTGGGCCTAATGGAACGTGGATGCTGCTGCCCTGCAGGCGGGGTGGGGTCTCTGAACTTGCTGAGGAGGAAGCTGAGCTGGCCCTGCACCCAGGGAGGGCCCTGGGGCGGGCTCTTCAGAGTGGAGGGCGGTTGTCTGTTAGGGCGTGTGGGGAGATAAGGATGCTGCCCATCCCACCCGACACCAGGGACCAAGGTCCTGTCCCCCCACTGGTGACCCTGTGGCCCCAGCTCATATGCTGGAGAGACCTGCACCCCCATCCCCCCAGACCTGCCCAGTGGGCAGTGGTCGGCAGCGCCCACGGTTAGGCACTTGGCTGCATGCAGCTTGCACCGAGGTGCCCTGGAAGAGGCCTGGCGTCCAGGCCCAGGAGACTGGAAGACATGGGGAAGCCCCACTGTGCTCGGACCCTCGGGGTCCCTTCCACGGGGACGGGTGACCCAGACTGAGCCCAGGTCTCCCAAGCTTTCACAGGCACCGTGTGGGTGTGGTGGCCGGGGCTTTGCCTGGTGGGTAGGCGCTTCCCAGTGGAAGAGGAGAGGGTTTTGAGCCGAGAAGCTGGAGGGAGGCAGCCCTGGGCCGTCGACGCAGGCAGCCACCCTGCCTTTCCTCCTCCCCTGCAGGCCTCGAGGAACGGCCCGGCTCAGGCTCCTGGGGTGCCAGCGACCAGAACAGCTCCTCCTTCGACCCCAGCCGGGTGAGACGCCTCCCCGCCCCACCCCACCCCCGTTCTGGGGGAACAGGAGTGGTACTGAGGGAGGCAACAGGCTGTGGCCTGGGTTGGAATTTGGAATCTCCTCTAGCCCTTATTAGCCCCTGTGCCAACTGTTAAGGGTCCCCAGCTGTCCTGAACACCCCTTTTTCCATAGCCTTACGGCGAAGGCGCCCACTTCAGTGAGTCTCATGGCGGCCTGACTTCGTCTACATTCCTGGGACCCAGCCTTGGGGGTGAGTGCCCCCACACCAGGGTCCTCTCCCCCCACCCCCCACACACATATGTTCCAATGTGACTTAACTAGTGGCATCTGTAAAGACCACCCGCCTCTCCCGGGGGGCCTCAGGTGGTTGGGGATCCCCACTGCAGGTGGCCCGCTTGTGGCTCTGAAAGACCAGGGGGCCAGGCGCCTGGGCACTGCTTCCAGTCCCCAGCGCCCTGCCTGTAGGTGTCGGATGGGCGGCGCATTTCGAGACAGGTTGCTAGTCGTTTCCTCCAAGGCGCTGCTGCTGAATAGACTGGGGCCCGCAGGTGTTGGGCCGCAGACCTTCACTCTGTCCCCCAACAAGGCCCTGAGGTCCCGGGTGGTCAGTTCAGTGGCATCATGACCGCAGGGGCTGCCCAAGGACCATTGGGGGGGGTGGCCCATCCCCAGAGCTGCACAAGCTGCGGGTAACAGGTCCTGCCTTGAGACCCACCCTCTGTGGTCACAGCACACGGGTGCTGAGTAAATGCATGTGAATGAAGGGCAGGCCTGGTGGGCACTATATCCCCATTGCCCAGATGTGGAGGGCGAGGCCCAGCCTGCGGGCACCCCAGCTTCCCTCTACGCTTCCTTCCCTGTGGCCTCTTCCTGACACTGGCTGACCTGCGGGCAGGCAGGGCTGATGGGCAGTTCCCACGGCCACCAGGCCCAAGGCCTGAGCTCAGCTGTGCCTGGCCAAGCGTGCCACAGCTCACTGAGGGTGCTGTGCAGCCCACGGGGGCGGGTGGTCTCCCTGCTCAAGTGCTCCCCAAAGCCTGGGCTGGGCTCGGGCTGTCGAGTGAGCTCAGTAGAAGCAGCAGCAGGCCTGCTCCTGGCGTGAGGACCACTCAGATCCGCCAGCCAAGCGTCCACTCTCCATCCAGATCACAGCTGGAGCCAGGTGCCCAGAGGATGGAGCCCAGTGTCTTGCCACCGGTCCCCAGTGTTGCGGGGGTGTCCTCTGGCCGGAAGGCAAGGCTGGAGTTGGGGGAGACAGATGTCTGTGCTGGCAGAACCCAGGGGCTAGGGCAGGCCTGCTGTGTACGTGGGGCCCCAGGCTCCCGATGCACCCCCTCCAGTCAGTCCCCAGCCCTGACCACAGGAAACCCAGGCTGGAAAGGGCAGCGGCTGGGCCAGGCCCCCTGGGGTTTGCAGAAAGTGTGTGTCCATCAGGGACCCAGGGAGGCTGTGTCCCAGGACACCAGGCTCCCTGGGCCACAGGTGACCCTGCCCCTCCCCCTCCAGGCAAAGGTGGCGAGCGGGCCGCGTATGCAGCCTTCGGGAGAGAGGCTGGTGTCGGCGGCTTGAGTCAGGTGAGGCCCGGCCTCGGTCTGGTGGGGACTGAAGAGCTGGGTAGGGAGGCGCCCTCTGAGCAGATGAGGGACTGGTGGCGACCACTTGCCCAGTTCACTTGGCAGGCTGCTGGGGGCATCTTGTCTCCTGTTTGCCCCTTAACCCCTACTCTTTTGTTCCGTTGTGTGTGAGTTTCAAATGGGAGGCTCTGGCAACCCTGAGGCCCCTGACCTCAAGGTCCAGCCGGGGGTCCTTCCACCTGAGCCTGTCCACCAGAGAGGCTCCAACCCAGGACAGAATTGCCCCCCGTCCCCGCTGTGAGGCCAGTGGAGGCTGTGGCCAGCCAGCTCCCCTCCCCCAACATTGGGCTTTGTCCCTGCCCCTGGGCCAAGCGGAGGGAGTCTTGGCACTGGGTGCCAGAGCGCCTATTGTCCCGGCAGAACGAGTGTGGCAGAGCGGATCGTGGACCCAGTCCCTCAGACCCCTGAGGTGCATCAGGGCCCAGGTGTCGAGAGTAGATCTGAGGGGGGTCGGCTGGTGTCGTGAGACCTGTGGGCAGTTGATTTAGGTTTAGGGGATCTGACCTGGTTTAGGGGATCTGACCTGGTTTAGCGTGGTGGAATCTGCATTCGGGTGAAATAGGGTTGGGGGAGGTCTCTGGGGTTAGGTGTGAGATTGGTGGGTTTGGGGTGGGTCTGTGGGTAGGGGGAGGGCTGGGGTCTGGGTGAGACCTGCAGGGCCGGTTGTTGGGCGCATTCGGCCAGCATCGCAGGGACCCCCCTCTCACAGGGACCTGTCTCCTCCCTCAGGCTGCCTTCCTGCCCAGCGAGCTGTCCCTCAGCAGCCCTGGGCCGCTGTCCCCCTCAGGTGTCAAAAGCAGTGCCCAGTTCTACCCCTCGTATCCCGGCAACGCCCGCCGGAGACCTGCGGATGGCGGCAGCCTGGGTGAGTGGGTGTGGGACGGGCAGGGAGCTCGGCCCAGGAAGTAGCCGTCTGTCCTCCAGCATTGGAATTGGGCTCAGGCCACTTGCAGGGACAGACAGTGAGCCGAGAAACTTGGGAAGAGCAGGGTGGGAGGGCGGCGGCCCGTGGCCCGTGGCCTAGCCGGCATCACATGTAGGTCACCCTCTGGCTCTTGTGACTGGGTCTGAGGGTCACATGAAATCACTGTCCTCAGGCGCCAAGTCCAGCGACCCTCCCCCTGGGCAGGGGTGGGGTGGGGGCTGTGCTCCTGACCACCCAGACAGGTGGGCAGGGCCGGCCCCAGAGCACTGGGTCTCCTGCTCACGTCTCTCCCTCCTGACAGACTCACAGCCCAAGAAGGTCCGGAAGGTGCCGCCCGGGCTCCCGTCCTCGGTGAGTGGCAGGACAGAGGGTGGAGCCAGGCAGCACATGGGCACTGGCCTTTGTGTGCCCGCCTCAGTATTGGGCAGACTTCTCGATTTCCTTTGCTGGAAGGCAGGGGGGCTTTCCGTGAGCAGGTGCAAGTTGAGGACCCCACCAGGGCCACAGGGAGAGTACCCGGCACCCAGCCCAAGGATGGATGTGGGGACTGGCTGTCCTGCGCACACACGTGCCCCTGGGGTCTGAGGCTCAGGTTTAGCATTCCACTGCACTCCACTTGCCAGGGCTCTGCACCAGCTGGGTCCTGGAAAGCCCGCCCCTGCTTCCCGGCCCGCCGCCTCCCCTCCTGCATTCAAACTCGAGGTTGCCCCTCCACAGGCAGCGTGGGCAGCACCAGCTAGTTAGAACTGAGGCCGACCCTGGAGCCTCTTGCCCTTGGTCTGGTCCAAGCACTCATCAAGCCTGTGCTGCTGGAGACACCCTTCTTAAGCTAGGGCCCCTGGCCTGAGGGGCTCCGAGCTGGGCCAGGAGGAGGCTCCTGGGAGAGGAGGAAGGACAGGCCGAGGGCTTTGGTGGGTCAGAAGGAGGTTGCTGACGCAGGAGAGGGGTATTCCAAACCCGGAACCCAGCGTACAAGGGCCTGAGCCCACTGTGGGGATGGGGGCTCCGGGCGTGGTAGGGCTGGAGAAGGAGCAGTGGAAAGACTGGGATGTTGGGCTGGGAGGGGGCTGGGGCTGAGAGGGGTTTGGGGTAGGCCCTCTGCCTGACCTCGCTCCCCCGCTCCCCAGGTGTACCCCCCTAGCTCAGGTGACGACTACAGCAGAGACACCGCCACCTATCCAGCTGCCAAGACCCCCAGCAGCGCCTACCCTGCCCCCTTCTACATGGCTGGTACATGGAAACTCACCGGAACAGGGCGGACAGGGTGGGGGCAGGCGTGGGCTCCCCCATCCACTCACCACCCTCCTCTCCGCAGATGGCAGCCTGCACCCTTCGGCCGAGCTCTGGGGCCCCCCCAGCCAGGCGGGCTTCGGGCCCATGCTGGGCGGCGCCTCGTCCCCGCTGCCCCTCCCGCCCGCGGGTGGCAGCGCCGCCTCTGGTGGCAGCGGCGCATTTGGTGGCCTGCACCAGCATGAGCGCATGGTAGGGCCCCCGAAGGGCAAGCGGGTTGGGGCAGGCTGCCCTCGGGCCCTTGCACCTCCTAACCCCCTTTCCTCAGGGCTACCCGCTACACGGAGCAGAGGGCAACGGCGGGCTGCCACCTGTGTCCAGCTTCGCGGCCCCCGGAGCCACTTACGGCAGCGTCACCAGCCACACGCCCCCCGTCAGTGGGGCCGACAGCCTCCTGGGTATGGCCCACCCCTCCCCACCACCCTGCCGGGCCCCTGGGCTGCCCTGCCCATGGGACCAGGCTCCTAAAACCCGCTGGGTTCGGGGCTGAGCACCCGTCAGCTGGGGCCTCCCCTCTCTGCACCCACAGGCTCACGGGGCACCACGGCGGGCAGCTCCGGGGACGCGCTCGGGAAGGCGCTGGCTTCCGTAAGTCTCGGGTGAGGGGGTGGCAGTGGGACTGGCCGGTTGGGGTCCTCTGGAGGCTGCCCCTGACCACCGGCTGCTTGTGTCCCGTTCCCATCCCAGATCTACTCCCCGGACCACTCCAGCAACAACTTCTCCTCCAGTCCCTCGACGCCCGTGGGCTCCCCACAGGGCCTGGCAGGTGTGTGAGGGAGGGGCAGCACTGCTGGGGATGGGAGGGGGTGGAGGGCAGGTGTCTGGTGCCTGTAGCTGGGCTGATGTGGGGGTGATAGCCTCCCTTTCCTGATGGGGCTGCTGCCTGGAGGTGGTGGCCTGTGAGCTGAGTGGAGGGGGGGGCATTGGAGCCAGGGCTGCATCTCAGCTGGACTGCTGCCAGCATGTTCATCATGCCTTGGGACTTGGGCATCACTTCCATGCATGCCCTGTGCTTGCCTCTGGCTAGGGGCCAGGCTGGCTGACACCCAGTGCCCTGGGCATAGCAGCTGGGAGCAGGAGGCGTCTGGAAGTGCTCTCAGTTCCCCTGGCTTCCCTTCCCGCTGCGGAAGTCCAGAGCAGGCCTTAGCCAAGTAGATGGCTCACCGCTCTACTCTGAACTGCTAGGCCTCTCAGGGAAGGGGGTGGGGGTGACGGGGGTGAGGGAGTGTGTACAGATGGGGACACTGAGACTTCTTAGCAGGGTGGGAGGTGGGATTTGAACCCCCACTGGGCCCTCTGGGCGCACAGCCCCTACCCTGTGGCTGAGAATAGCTTTGCAGGTGGCGGGCACCCTCTTGTGGCCATGCTGGGCATCTCAGGCCCCTCGGTACCCACACACCTCCGCTTCTTTCTTCTGGGAGGCTAGTGCTGTGGCGGGCCTCAGGCCACTAGCACAGTCGGCAATTCAAACCCGGAAGAAAGATGAGGCTGTTTGCCCTGTAACTATGTGCGGACCCTGGGAGGCCTGTCCGGGGTTGCTGTGCGTCCAGGTGGACTGGATGGCGCTGGGTTTTTGCTGCCGCACACCCTGGTCAGTGAGGGGCTGGGCAGGCCTTGCCGCCCCTTCACACATCCTCATCCCCTGCAGGAAGTTCCCAGTGGCCCCGAGCAGGGGCTCCCGGTGCCTTATCACCCAGCTATGATGGGGGTCTCCATGGCCTGGTGAGTGCACCTGACGGGGGTGGGGTGTTGTTCCTCGTGTGTGTCCTGGTGGTGGGGTGGCCATGATTGGGAGGTAGCCGTGGGGGTCTCGGGTGACAGAATGTTACACAATACAATAGATGTCCCTTGGTCTGTAAACTCTTCACTGAAGCATTGGGCGGGGGGCGCAGGGTGTGAGCCAGGCGTGCAGAGGGGCCGTGCAGGGTCCCGGTATCCGCCCTGACTGCCCCTCCCACCGGCAGCAGAACAAGCTGGAGGACCACTTGGACGAGGCCATCCACGTGCTGCGCAGCCACGCCGTGGGCACGGCCAGCGACGTCCATGGGATGCTGCCTGGCCCCGGGACCATGGCTCCCGGCTTCCCCGGCCCTGTCATGCCACTAGGCAGCCGACACGCCAGCCTGGTGAGCACCGGATGGCGGGGTGGGGTGGGGTCGGGCATGGGGCAG